TAACTATTATCACATTCGAAGAAATATTTTACAAATCAAATTACACATTAAAAATGCAATTGATTTATGAGTTTATTAAAATATTATTAATAAAATAATTTTTATATTATTTTATGAAATTTTCTATTTTGTACTTTTTAGAGTATATGATAATAGTATATTTATTATATTTTATATCATTAATATTTATAATAAAATTAAAATATTGACAATAAATTTATCAATTATTCAATAAAAAATATCTATATATTAAAGATGTTAAAATTAATGTTAATTTTTTTATTTTTATGTAAATTAATGCATTAAAATTGTATTTAAAATTTCCTTAACTTATTCTCTAAAAGTATAAATAAGATGCACCTGACCTATTGTATCGAATGATTTTTATCACCTTAACAAGGTGTAGTTTTCCCTCTTCTTAAAGCTGAGTTTAAGTCCCCATTTTACCTTGTTAAAAAAAAAGTACAAGTTAAATAAATTTTTATTTTATTTATAATAATTTACTGATTTTAGTACTCAAAGAATATTTTTTAATGTGTAATGTGATATGTAACATAAAATCCCTATCACATTAATAACGAAAAAGAAGGTTCAAAATTCTGTTGCGCGGTGAATAAATATTGCACTAGCCAAGTTGCACTTCATTTGCTAGCCAAAGAAAAACGTAGCAGTTAATTAATTAACCATTGCGGGCCAACCTTAATCGAAAGAAAAAGGAGGCTGTCCTTTAAATAAACCTGGATTAGCAATCAACTTATATATATTAATACTTCTTCGTTTATTTTTAATAAATTTAATTTAATACTTTAATTTTTAAGATATAATTTTTAAATATTTAATAAAAATTAAAATTATTGTATATTAATTATAATTTTTAAAATAATTTAGAGTTTTAACCTATATTTAAAAATTAAAATTTTAATTCAAAATTAAAAAAATATAATCAATTTTTAAATCTAAATATTAATATTTAATAAGATAAATTTTTAAATTTAATTAAATAAAACTACATAATTTAATGTTAGGATTTCAATTTTTTTGAGAGTTGAAAGTGATAGGTATTTTTTCCATAAAAATTATATATATTAGTACTTCTTTGGTTTATTTTTAACAAATTTAATTTAATATTTTAATTTTTGAAATATAATTTTTAAATATTTAATAAAAACTATATATTAAAATCAAAAAATTTTAATTATAGTTCACATACATTATTAAATTTTTATTTAAAATTTATATTACAAAAGTAAAAAATGTCAAACTATTAAATTTGACAAGAGAGGGAGTAATTTTTAAAGGAAACTAGAATCACAAGCACATAAGGCCAATAATAATAATTTAATGAATTTGATAAAATTAAATTCATATTTTACTTTAAATATTTAATACTTTATTAGTTTATTTCTATTAGATATATTTTGATTTTTTTAGCTTTTTAAATATAAATTGTAAATAAAAATTTAATAGTTTATATAAATAATAATTCAAAGTTTTTTTTTCTTTATATATGAAAGTTCTTATTGGGTATTTTAATTTGATAAAAAAATTTAATTATTATTTATATAATAAGTAAAATTTTCATTAAAAAAATTAAAAAAATCAAATTATATCTATTAAAAATAAAAAAGAGAGTAATTGTACTTAAATATTTTAATATTTTAAATATCTAGATATTTTAATTTTTTTAATTTTTAATCACACATTTTTAAATTTAAAAATCATTTAAAAAATTTAAACGACGTTACATTAAAAATTTTTAAATGAGTAATTAAAAATTAATTTAAGGCTTACGATCATAACTAATAAACTTTTGAGGTTTTAAACATTTTTTTAAATTAACAGTCATAGTTCTC